AGGGTATAACCCCAGCTAAATTATATGTATCTTATCAAGGCCGCTCAATAAATTAATGGGACTTAAATATGTTGTAGAGAATATGTCCATGATAATTTTCATTTAAAAATTATAATCAAAATCAGATTATTTGATGTCTATAAAGGTATTAAAACAGTTACCAAAAGCTTACAATTTCATCATAAATAATACATTTATTTTTTGTAATAGTTTTCAAAATGATCTAAAGTTTTATAACAGAAGTATCAGAAGTACTGTATATAAACAATACTATATATTAAATATGAGTGTAAATGCCGGTTCTTAATATTATATTTTAATAACATTTTTTGCTATAATTTTATTTTTTTAAATTCTACAATTAATAAGATTTTAAAATACTATCAGTATACTGTACTTACGGTGTACTACCATATGAAATTCATATAATACTATGAATTATATTTATGTAATGGCAACAATATTTTTTAAAATAATAAATTTTTTGTGACAGTTGTTATTATGGATCTTATCATTAATCCTGTAGGTTTTGGTGTACTTAAGTACTACATCTAAAGTACTGTATATCTATATAATGGGAATGGTAGATTAGTTGTAAGAATAACAACAATAAAATAATAATTCATAATATGTATTATGTAATGTGTTATAAACGGAAAGCATTTCTCATTTTCAATGAATTTTGGTGGTATTTAGTTTAGCAAGAATCAATAAAATTGATCATTTTGAGTTGTTTCAAATCAGTTTAAGTTTTTAAAATTTATTTAAATATTTTTTAAAACTTAATACAATAAATATGGATCTTGGTGATAAACTGTGTATGATTTGCGGTGGTAGTAAGTCAGTTGGTGAGTAAAATTTTATCCAACCTTGCTAAGATTAATTAATATTTCTATAAGACTAAATTTATTTCATATTAAGGCAGGTACTTTGGTGCCATTACTTGCGATTCGTGTAAATCATTTTTCCGGCGAATGGCCCTTAAATAATTATATATACTGGATGTTAATGAAAGTTATATAAGTTTANGAATGGGACTCCGATGTTACTATAATTGACCTGGTATTATTCAGTTAAAAATTTTAAATTTTTTAAAAATATAATTTTATTGTATATTTATATCAATAGTTAAGTGCTATTATACTGTTTAATCCGAATCGACCCAAACTCATTAACAAAACTGCCATAAAGTGAGTTATTTTATTTACACTCTCATATAATTTATTATATTATAATTGTCTATATTCATATAATTTATTTTTTGATATAAATATAGATTACAGCATTATATTTATGTTCATTTACTTCAACGGTATCTACAATTAAGATATAGATCTGATGTGGTATCCAGGTGCAAACTTGTAAATTTAATTAAGAAATTAAGCTTTTTGGATATTATTAATCAGAAAAAGGAAACCATTTTAATGAAAACTGACTTAAGATTTGTTCCGCTTTTAAAAGAGTTATATAATCGCGACTAAAAAGTTTGTATTTGTGTTGTTAATGGCTGTTAAGAATCAGTAAAATATTATTGTTATAAAATACTATAGTTTACAATTAATTAATTGTCTTTTTATTTATTGTATTATAACTTAATATATTTTAAATATCAATTCAACAAACAAATAAAAGCGTTTAGAAATTATTAAATTTAATGTTATTTAGCAATAATTACACAAATAATACTAACACTTAGAATATAAGGTACACTATTATTAATAATTTTCTAATAACACTATTATCCAAGGTTATTTATGGATGTATATACGTATAATGGAAAATATAACACAATTGAAATAAGATATTGTTTAAAATAATAGGGTATAACCCCAGCTAAATTATGTGTATCTTATCAAGGCCGCTCAATAAATTAATGGGGCTTAAATATGTTGTAGAGAATATGTCCATGATAATTTTCATTTAAAAATTATAATCAAAATCAGATTAGTTGATGCCCATAAAGGTATTAAAATAGGTACCAAAAGCTTACAATTTCATCATAAATAATACATTTATTTTTTGTAATAGTTTTCAAAATGATCTAAAGTTTTATAACAAAAGTATCAAAAGTACTGTATATAAACAATACTATATATTAAATATGAGTGTAAATGCCGGTTCTTAATATTATATTTTAATAACATTTTTTGCTATAATTTTATTTTTTTAAATTCTACAATTAATAAGATTTTAAAATACTATCAGTATACTGTACTTACGGTGTACTACCATATGAAATTCATATAATACTATGAATTATATTTATGTAATGGCAACAATATTTTTTAAAATAATAAATTTTTTGTGACAGTTGTTATTATGGATCTTATCATTAATCCTGTAGGTTTTGGTGTACTTAAGTACTACATCTAAAGTACTGTATATCTATATAATGGGAATGGTAGATTAGTTGTAAGAATAACAACAATAAAATAATAATTCATAATATGTATTATGTAATGTGTTATAAACGGAAAGCATTTCTCATTTTCAATGAATTTTGGTGGTATTTAGTTTAGCAAGAATCAATAAAATTGATCATTTTGAGTTGTTTCAAATCAGTTTAAGTTTTTAAAATTTATTTAAATATTTTTTAAAACTTAATACAATAAATATGGATCTTGGTGATAAACTGTGTATGATTTGCGGTGGTAGTAAGTCAGTTGGTGAGTAAAATTTTATCCAACCTTGCTAAGATTAATTAATATTTCTATAAGACTAAATTTATTTCATATTAAGGCAGGTACTTTGGTGCCATTACTTGCGATTCGTGTAAATCATTTTTCCGGCGAATGGCCCTTAAATAATTATATATACTGGATGTTAATGAAAGTTATATAAGTTTACTCAGGCTAATTAGTTATATATTACTCACTCAACATTTAAACTTATTTTAATTTTCATAGACTTTGGATAAAGCAATGAGTTTTTTATTAAGAATTTCTGAAGATCTTGAAGTTGTTGGTAGTTATGGGAAAGTAATTAACGATTTTATGTCACAATGGGAAAAGGACCGAGTTATTATGGAACTGGTATTTATTATACATCTAAATGTTATTAATAACTAACAAAAACAATTTTAATTATATTTATAACTAATAGTTAACTGCAATAATGCTATTTAAATCCAATGTACCGAACCTAGCACATAGGAATAACATTATGTAATTATAATTAACATACTCCATGCTTTGTAATACTTTTTAAAATTTATTTGACAGACTCGAACAACAATTGTATATTTATTTATTACAACGATATCTTGATTTGAAATATAAATCGGGATCGCAATCCAAACTTCAAACCTTGATGACATTATTGTGTGAATTCAGTATCTTGATTAAAATATTTCAGAAATCGTAATATAATTAAATCAAGACAACCATGCTGTACTAATAATAACTGATCATGTTGGCAAATATTTTGAAATCCATTCAACCCTTTTATTAGCTTGATCATATCTCTGACATGTTGTTCACCTTCAGTTGCATTTAATTCATTTAAAGAAAATAGGGTATTTCTATCACTTATTTCTACGACATTTGTAGAAAGCGGATGATTAATTATTAATATGCTAGATGCTTTAAATAGTTCTAATATACGATCACAATGTGATTGATTCAATCCATGGTAATCAGTAATTTCTTGGAACATAGGAATGATAGCCAATGGAAACGAGTCTTGCATCAAATTACTGTTGTTATCACTATTTGTAACATAACTTTCGATTTGCATATTCTGGTCATTAGATTCTGTGTTAGTGGTTGAGTAATGAATACAATTTTGTTGTTTTAATTTGCTTTCTCTAATCAACTGTTTTCTCATTTCGTTTTGTTTCACATCTTTTATGAATTCCTATTAAATAATAAATGTTTACTATTTTTATTATAAAAATTACAAACTGACCTTTCTCATTCCAACGGCTAAACACTTTTCGAGTCGACATTTTTGACACAATTTTCTAGGATTTACTGTAATATTACATTTACCATCAGTTGAGCATTTTAGCTGCTATTAATAGACAATATACCATGTTTAATTTGCAATTGTTTCAAACATTATGTTTAGTATTTACAATATTTTTAAGGGCTATTCGCCGGAAAAATGATTTACACGAATCGCAAGTAATGGCACCAAAGTACCTGCCTTAATATATATTAAATTTAGTCTTAAAAATCTTAACAAGGTTTAGAAGAATTATACTTACCAACTGACTTACTACCACGGCAAATCATACACAGTTTATCACCAAGATCCATATTTATTGTATTTAAGTTTTAAAAAATATTTATATAGATTTAAAAAACGTAAACTAATTTGAAACAATTCAAAACTATCAATTTAATTGATTCTGCTAAACTAAATACTGTACCACCAAAATTCATTGAAAATGAGTAATGTTTTCCATTTATAACACATTTCATGTTATGAATTATCATTTTATTGCTGTTATGCTAGTCTACCATTCCCATTATATAGATATACGGTACTTTAGGAGTAGTACTTGAGTACACTAAAACCTACAGGATTAATGATAAGATTAATAATAACAACTGTTACAAAAAAATATATTATCTTAAAAATGTTGTGCAATTATAATTTATAAATATGATTCTTAGTAAGAATTTCATGGTAGTACCGATATACTGATCGTCATTTTAAATCTTATTAATTGTAGAATTTTAAAAATGAAATTATATCAAAAAAATGTTATTAAAAAAATGAGAACCGTTATTGACACTCATTTAATATAGTATTGTTTATATACTTTTGTTATAAAATTTAAAAACATTTTGAAAACTATCACAAAAAATAAATGTATTATTTGTGATGAAATTGTAAGGTTTTGGTACCTATTTTGATATCTTTATGGACATCAAATAATCTGATTTTGCCGATAATTTTTAAATGAAAATTATCGTGGACATATACTCTACAACATATTTAAGTCCCATTAGTTTATTGAGCGGCCTTGATAAGATATAAATACATACAATTTAGCAGGGGTTAACCCTATTATTTTACAACAATATTTTATTTCAATTGTGTTATATTTTCCAATATATATACATCTCTAAATAACCTTGGATACTAGTGATATTAGAAAATTATTAATAATACTATTATTATAATAGTATACCTTACATTTTAAGTATTTGTATTAATTATGTAATTATGGTTAAATAACATTAAATACAATAATTTTTAAATACTTTTATTAGTTTGTTTAGTTGATATAAAAACTATATAAAGTTATAAATAAGTTATAATACAATAAATAAAAAAACAATTAATTAATTGTAAACTATTGTATTTTATAAAAAAAAATTTCAATGATTCTTAACAGCTATTAACAACACAAATACAAACTTTTTAGTCGCGATTACATAACTCGTTTAAAAGGGGAACAAATCTTAAGTCAGTTTTCCTAAAAAGCTCTTTCAATTTCTCACTCAAACCATGCAAAAGGTTTAATTTCTTGACTAAATTTACAAGTTTGCACCTGGATACTTCATCCGATCTATATTTCAATTGTAGATACCGTTGAAGTAAATGAACATAAATATAATGCTGTAATCTATATTTGAATCAATAATAAATTATATGATAATAATTTATAAAAAAAAATTGCTTACTTTATGGCAGTTTTGTTAATAAGTTTGGGTCGATTCGGATTAAACAGTATAATAGCACTTAACTATAAATATACAATAAAATTATATTTTTAGAAATTGTTAAATTTTTAAATAAATAATACCAGGTCAATTATAATCACATCAGAGTCCCATTCAAGTCCCATCCATTCCAGGACTGTTTTGTGATTAACATTATGAGGCTTTATTTTGGACAGGCAATATTTTGTATCCCGAAGTACATTGAATTTTATCATATGATTGTGATTATTCTGGTAATAAATCAATTATATACAAATATTAATAAAAGTAAAACACAAACATGTTTAACAACAAATGCATACTATGTTAAATGACCAGCATAATTCATTAAAGTCAAAATACAATATCATTCGCAAGACAACAATTTCAAAGGACGCGTATTTAATTAAAGTCAATTGATCATGCTCACACAGCGATTTAAAAGCGTTCAAACGTTTAGCCATTTTGACAGTATTTTGAAGACCATTCTCCTGATAAGGAAGTATCAAATTGAAGGCATCGACAGAATAAGCGTTTATTTCATTATCATTAACGTTGACCACAGGACTCATCATAATCTTGAGGGCATCCAAGAGTTCACTCAACCGATTGCCCTCTAATTCATTGAACTGATTGTTATAATCAGTGATGGGTTTCATAACAGGTATGACCGACAGATTCAAGTCATAAGCGTTTGTGGTTATCAGTGATAATTCATTGTCTGTTAAAACATTTTGGAAGTTATTGTAAATAATATCATCTAATGGTTTATGTGATGGATATTCATTGGAAGTATTGTTTTCATCACTAGTTTTCAAACAATCATTAGATTCTGGACTCGTATTTGAGTAATGAATACAATTTTGTTGTTTTAATTTGTTTTCTCTAATCAATTGTCTTCTCATTTCGTTTTCCTTCACATCTCTTATGAATTCCTATTAAATAATAACTGTTTACTATTTTTATTATAAAAATTACAAATTGACCTTTCTCATTCCCACGGCTAAACACTTTTTGAGTCGACATTTTTGACACAGTTTTCTAGGATTTGCTGCTAAATTACAGTTCCCATCATTTATGCATATTACTTGCTATTGACAAACAATATACCATGTTTAATTTACAATTGTTTCAAACAATATGTTTCATATTTACAATATTTTTAAGGGCCATTCGCCGGAAAAATGATTTACACGAATCGCAAGTAATGGCACCAAAGTACCTGCCTTAATATAAATTAAATTTATAATTATAAATAAAATAAATTAATATATTTAATAAACTTAGCGTGCCATTAAAAGTAAGGATACAACAAAGTGAGCAAGCATATTGCTACGTAAAGCAATTCTTAAACAGATTTCTATGCGAATGGCAACGTGATAATATTATTATGGAATTGGTAACTATTTATGAATTATTATTCACCTTTTTCAATAATAATTATAAAGTTTTTTAAATTAATAGTTAACTGCAATCATGTTATTTAATCCAAATGTACCCAACCAAACCCATAGGAATAACATTATGTATGTAACTAATTATTGTTTATTTATTGTGTAATATTAAATATACTATAAGTAATTTATACAATATTATTTACAGACTTGAACAGAAAATTTACATATATCTATTGCAGCGATATTTATTAGCCTGGTACCGGTCAGAGTCGGAATCCGAGTCAAGACTTTCCAAATTAATGAACTTATTGTTTGAATTGAGGTTCATAAGCGACCTGGAAAAATGGAGATTAAATCTTGTACACAAAATTATGGACCATTATTTAATGAAATTTCAATATAAAACATGTAATTAAACAATGCATATGATACAAGCAAATTGAACAAATTGAAAACTTGGTATCGTTTTTGGAGATAAAACAATAATTTAATGTAATTTGTAACTTGTAATTATTTGTTGTAATTTGTTTCATTTGTTCTGGGTTTCACGTCACTCTCCCGGTATCTATTTGTGTAAATATATATTTGCATTCAATAAAGTTAAACTTAAACTTATCAGGGACGAGTCACGTAAAAAATGTGTGTGAAGTATGTTTGGACTGGGAGTGGAAGGTATGAAATCATACAAAAACCGTGAATTTCGTGTCAATCATTTCAATAGATACTTCTTCTAAATTATAATTCAATTTTTAAATTAGTTATTCAAATTTAAAATACAACCAGTGTAATCTGAAATTGCTTGTTTTATGATATTTGTTTGTTACTTATATGTGAATATAAAATTGCTACCCGTATATTAAAACTTAATTGAGTACATAATTCCTGTATAGTTACACAATATTAGTGAGAATTTATATTATTATAAATTATATGAGTGCTAATATAGTGGACAGGGTTTGTGAGGTTTGTGGGGATACGAAAGGGACAGGTATAAATTGTGATTATACATAAAAATTTATATTTTAATATCTATTCATATTAAACCTTGTTCATTTAAGGCCGTAATTATAGTCGAATAACGTGTGAATCGTGTAAAATGTTTTTCCGAAGAATTTGTCTCAAAACTAAAGTAAGTATTATTATTATTATCGCTATATTTGTATACATTTATTTATTTATTTATATGTAAACAAATATTTTTACTAAAATAGCCGATAGACTGTCCATCGTATGGAAAGTGTCGGATAACTCGCACAACGAGAAAATATTGCCCCAAATGTCGGCTCACAAAATGCTTGGACATCGGAATGAGACAGGTTGATTTTAATTGCATATGAACTTATTGTAAAACTTGTTAGTGTACACTTTATTTACATTAAATATATGATAGGAATTTCAACAAAAGTACAATAAAACAAAAAACAAGAAACTATTATCCGTAGAAAATACACATAATTTGAATGATGACATGAAAAGTGGAAAATGTGTTGAATTACTCGCTATTGAGTCGAGCAATGGGTCGCAACTAATGGAGAGATTAAATCAACACTCAATTCACACTAATACTGATTGCCTGACTGTACAGCTAATTGAATGTGAAAAATATGTGACAAATTGCACACAATATAAGAGTTTGATAAATAAATTGTTGATTAAATGTGAGATAAATCCCGTATTCAACGAACTCACAGACTATCACACGTTCAATGAATTGGAAAATACACGCATTTCGGAGTTAACCACTGCCACCAATATATTCAATTATCCCGTAACCAAAAATCTTATATACTTAAGAGATAAGGTGCAGATATACCGTATGACCAGGGTCAGGGTCGAGGACCTAATCAGGGATACCATCAAATTTTGTAAAAGTCTCGTTTCATTCACAAATACCTGTCCAGAGGATCAGTTATCGCTACTCAAGAATGGATGTATGAATTTGCTTTGCATGCGATTCTTGGCTTATTATAACGTGGATAAAACAATGTACTACCTCAATTTGGTGAGTTATAATGTAGCAATGATCATAGTGTGATAATCTCATCTATCGTATTATCAAATTACGTAATATAAGATTAATTTTAATTAATTTAGTTTATACCTGTTGTTTATTAACTAAAATCAAATTGGTAATTTTATAGGATACCGAAAACACACTGTTACTTAAATTGAATGATATGACTTTTGATAAACCAGAATATTTCACAGTTCATGAAAAGATCCTGAGAGAAATATCTACAGAATTAAACAACGATCCAATTGTCATGGATTTGGTATAAATTTAATGTAACCTAGATAATTAAGTTTTATAATAATATTTTTATTTATACTTTGTATTAGCTAACGGCAATAGTATTATTTAATCCGCATCGACAGAATTTGAGACATGCACAAAATATTAAGTATTAAATATTTTAATATTTTATTTGAATATTTAAAAAAAATTAATTATTTGTTCCCTGGTATTTAAATAGACTGGACCAACAATTGTATATTTATTTACTTCAGAGATATTTACTGTTGAAATATCGGTCAAAATCTGAATCACAATTAAAACTGAAAAGACTGATGGAGTTGTTGATTGAATTTAATACGATATCCAATATGCGAAGGGCTGTCCACTCTAAACAAATGATGGAAAGCCTACAATATTGCGGACCACTCATGAGAGAGGTTTATGGCATTCAATGATAGATAAAAATTATTGTTAATTTGTATAAATCAATAGTTTGTAATATAATTTTTTTAAAAGTATTATTAAATATTCAATGTAAAAATTATATTTTATTAAATTACATTAAATTAATATTTTTTATAATGAATGCATAGAATCTAAACTTTAGACAGACATGTATTATACAATATAAATGAGATTAACTTAACAACAAAAATAATTTCTCTTTGAGGTGTGTTTTATATAAACCAATAAAAGACTATTTAGTCAACACTTCATTCAAATATAAGATTAATTTTTGGTTTAATTATTTGAATCGATTAGACATTTGCGGCGAAATTCTTATAATTACGGATAAAAAGCAGCAAATTATTGACTGATTGCCCGCAGTCTTAGACAGCATTAACTAAACTCACGATTGAGGCAATCATTACAAACCACATCCACAGAGATTGCTGGCTAACCGCAGCACTGCTTACTGTCAACACTTGTGGGTCATTTGGGTCCGTCCGGACAGACCATCCGACCGGGTTGTGGGCGAAGATCATCATCGGGTGCTGTCCCGATGGTACCTCCACATAGATGTCGTACGTGTTATTAGCCAATGGACTTCGGTTCGAGGCGTTCAAATAAATGTGCTGGATGTCCGAAATCTCCAACTTGTAAATATCAATCGGTGGCTCAACTCTCGTGTCATTGACTGTCAAATGCAAGACTCCTACAAAAAATATCATTGAATAGGTATCCAATGAATAGTGATAATAGACAGTGAGTGTGGTATTGCATTATCTGTTTTATAATAACTAATATTTATAAGTTTAAAGAATATGTTCACAGAATCCTATGTTATGCATAATAAGTTACATAATGCTTATGAATGTAAACAATATCTAAATTCAAGGTTTATTATACATTCTTTCAATCTCTAACTCTTTGAATATTAATATTATATAACTCTCTGTCTCTCACTATTGAAAGTCTCTTATGTTACAGACATCTCCTGATATGTTTAAATGAAATACATTTATAAGTAGTGTACTAAATACATAGCACATAGCACATATTCTTTGATCACTACAATATGGATGGATACCTTGTTCATATGAGTAGTTTGCAAGAATGGGTTGTTTCGGAAGTGTTCCGACATTTACTTCGAAAGTGATTCTCTCTTCTCCGATGGTATTCCTGGCCTTACACTGGAATCGTCGGGAGTGTCCGTTCGGGTCATTCAATTTGTTCACAATTTTGCCGATATTCTCGTACTCGAGTGACAAAACACTTAGATTCTTGGTGTTTATGATTCTGTGCTTAACATCGAGACCGCCTGAAAATGTCATATAAACCAATACAATTACACTATATTATATGACAATTAATAATATACTGTGTCTATCGGTATTGTATAGTAACAAGTCAATATATTTTTTGCAAATTGCATGCTAGAACTAAAGATAACAAAATATTGATTACCATTACCCCTGTCAATGGGAGTACCAAGTCCTGTAAACTACTGGAACTGTGCGAAGGGGTCGGCGCTCACAAGACATGTCACGTTTACAATGACAGGAGAGTGGGTATCATCTGAAACCCAAACATTTCTTGGTGTGTTTTCTGGGAATCGAGGCTTATATTGAACTCTCAATTTAATGTCTATACTCATGGCATCTGCGAGGAAAGGGTTGGCGTAAACCGATTCGCACGTATAGACGCCCTCATCCTTTTTGACCAATCTTTTGAAGCCGAGCGTACTTCTGATGGTCTTCTGACTGACCGACTGTTCCACTCGTGTTCTGACCCTAATGTGGTTGTCGTCGTCTACAATACGACTGTTGTTGCGAATCCATGTGACCTCGACTTCAGTGGCCTCGCGGTCAGAATCAAACTTAGAGAAGCATAACATTGCGAAGGCATCCCCTTCTGTGCCCACATTAGTGTATTTATTTCCGTCCATTTCGATAGAATTGTAGACTTTTAGCTCAAATTTGTCCGAAGAAAACACTTTATTATCCTTAGTGTGTCTGCACTCATAAAATCCCGAATTTCGTTTGGGAACATTGACCAGGAACAGTTTGACCGAATCAGGTCCATGTTGCTGGTATACAGGGGCCTGACTGTTGTCGTCAATTGGTTCATGTCTGCCCATTACATGTCTGCTCACTCGATACCAATTAAGTACTCCATCGGTTTGATTGACATCCTTAAGACATATGACAAACAGTGTCTGTCTGTTCCAAATGGCCATAACCTTCTCCCGGGGCTCTATCCTAACGCTACAAACCAATGGTTGTAATGAAGAAGTTATCATAAAAATGAGACAAAAAATAGCGTTTGTTTGCGAATTATAGTTAAAACTGACTATCGATCTAAACTTCATAATTGTTGAGCAAATTTGTTTAATTATTGTTACTAATGAATAGGATTACACTCTGAATGAAGGAATGAAGTTCATTCTATATCCAATATCATTAGTTATCACAGAAGGTTACCTTGATAATGTTATGATTAATTAATCCTGAGCATAGATGTCGACGTATTACGTGTTTTCACTTTATTCATTCGTGTGATAATGCAATCAATTAATATCACTAATTTTAGGATATTATTTAATGTGTAAATCGTAACTAGTATAAATTTCATAATTTTTTTGGTTAATATAATTTCATTTCAAGCTTAATTATCTGTGCAATTGTAATACACAAATAAATACTCAATTCCTGTGAAGTCACAGAATATAAAAAATAATAGCGAATATATTTTATAATCAATGCTAATATAATGGTCAGGGTATGCGAGGTTTGTGGTGACACCAAAGGGATCGGTATTAATCAATATTAAACATAACTAATTTACCAAGTTCACACCCATTTTAACATTTAAGGCTGTAATTACACCAGAATTACGTGCGAATCGTGCAAAACTTTCTTTAGGAGAGTTTGTCTCAAAATAAAGGTAACAATAATTTGTAAATTATTTTGAATTAATTTTTGTTTAATTAAATATTTGTTATGAATAGCCATTAGGTTGCCCTTCCGATGGAAAGTGCAGAATAACACGAATTACTAGAAAATATTGCCCCAAATGTCGACTCGAAAAGTGTTTGGAGATAGGAATGAGACAGGTGAATAAGAATAATATATATTGTTATAAAGTATGGATATTAATATTATATATTTTATTGTATTTGTAATTTTTAATATAAATTCAAACAGAAGTACAATAGGAGAAAACAATTGGCCGATAATAATGCCGTGAATATGAATGAAGTAATTAATAGCGAAAGTTGTGTTGATTTACTCGCTAAGGATTTCTGTAATGAATCGCAAGAATCCGATAAATTAACTCAAGATTTCTGTATAAATACTGATGACCTGAATGTGCAGATCATAGAAAGTGATTACAATTTGACAAATACCACAGAATCTGAGACTTTACTACTGCAGTCATGGAATCGTATAATAATTCCCGTATTCAATGAAATGACAGACTATAGCACTTTGAATGAATTAGAAAATAATCGCATATCAGAGTTAACCACTGCCACCAATATATTCAACTACCCGGTAACTAACCATATTATAGGAATTAGTGACAGAATGCAGTTAAATCGTGTAGCCAAAGCTAGACTAGAGTATCTTATCAGGGATACCATCAAATTTAGCAAAAGTCTCGTCTCATTTGCAAACACCTGTCCTGAGGATCAGTTATCACTGATAAAGCATGGTTGCACTGAAATGCTAAGCATGCGATTCTTGGCTTATTATAATGTCGATAAAGAAATGTACTATGTCAATTTGGTGAGTTCATGAGAATTTAATTTGATAATGCTAAGTCAAATTAATTATTAAGTATCATTTATGAAATATATTAAATAAGTGTAATTACAGGATAACAAAACCACACTCCGGGTTAAATTGGACCAGTTTAGATTTGATAATTCAGAATATTTTACATGCTATAAAAGATTCCTGGCTGAAATATCGGCAGAATTAAACAGCGACCCAATAGTTATGGATTTGGTATGCTCTAGGATCTATAATATGGTTGTTAAATAATACTTTGTATTTATAAATCACCTAGCTAACGGCAATAGTACTATTTAATCCGAATCGACAGAATCTGACACATAAACAAAATATTAAGTATGTTGAACCTTGATGAATATGAATCTATTTAATAAATAGTTTTTAATGTTAATTAAATTTAAATTGTAACAGGCTTGAGCAACAATTGTATATCTATTTACTACAGAGATATTTACTATTGAAATATCAATCGCAACCTGAATCACAATTAAAACTGAAAAAGTTGATGGACTTGTTGTCTGGTTTAATTCAGACTTCAAATATGCGTAGAGCCGCACATTATTCAGAAATGTTGGAAAGCCTACAATATTGCGGACCTCTTGTGAGAGAAATCTATGGCTTATAAAGATATCAATTAGCGATTAAATATTCTTTACAAGAAAAGCATTATTTTATAAATAATCATAAATGATAATTTAACTATAATAAATTGTATGACGAATACATTTGAAAATGTTATAATAAAATATTTAATTTAAAAAATAAAATTGTAGGTATGATTTTAATAACAT